CCGTCCTTAGTCGGATCCGAGTCGGATCCGACTCCAGAACAAATGACTGCTGAAGGGGGCGGCGGATATTCGTTCCGACCCAGCTCCGGGACGGGTCCGATACTTGGCAGTGTTGTAACATCGTTACAATAACAAACAACGTCCATCCCTGTGTGAAGAAAATCCCTGTGTGCCGCAATCGGCCAATCAGCTCCCAAGTTCAGGAAGAAGTCCGTGATTTCAGCGAACTGATTGGCCAGTTCCGGCATCCTGCCTTTGCCCTGACCCACAATCTATACACTCAACACCTCTATTCTAAATCACTCTTTGGCTTTCGCGTCCTCCATTTTTACAGGTACAGCAGCGCTCGGTGCTATAGGGATTATGAGCGCCAACAACAAGGCGCAGGCCAGGGCAGCAAAGCTGAGGCCACAAACTTCACCTACTTCCACTCGTACCCATGATGGCAGCTTATCAGCCGCACTGAGAATCGTGTGCAGAATGACTCCAAGTAAAACGAATGGAGAACAGCATAACAAACCCAGCGCCAGAAGAGACAAGGCTCTGGGTACAGCCTTGAATATGCCAAAAACTCTGGTGACGACCTGCGGATACCTAAGCACTAAGCTTAGAGAAAGGATGGCCACTACACTCATCAGGACCAGACCGGATATCAGAGTGTCTGGTACCGAGAACACAGGAAACTTATTTGAAGTCTCCACTAGCTGCGACAAGGACTCCGCGCGGTCTTTTATAGCGTCTTGAATAGAACTTGGTAATTTTTGCATGCCGTCTGGTAACAGCCTGGAAAAATTAAGCGGTAAGTCAGAGCAGTTTATATCTTGCTCAAAGCCGATACAGAAGCGCCTTATGCCAAGCGAGCAATTTTTCGGAACAATGTCTTCAATACTCTGGACAGTAGCTGCTGCAGAGCTTATTGCGCTTTCTGCTTGACTCACTGCAGAGCTTATCGCACTGCCCGCCCGACCAGCTGCATCTGCGACCCTAGTTGCGGCCGCATTTAGACCGCTCCTCACTCCATCCTGAAGATCTTCGAGCAGGTCGCGGTCTCGGAGTGCATGCGTTGGGGATGGAAGCGCATCGGTAAGTGCGTCTGTAAAATTGAACTGTGGACGTAGCATCAGTCGTTCTGTGCAGGCTGACATGGGTAGTGCAAAACAATGGTAACGTACCTTTAACGTTAGAATGCCAGAGTCTGTATACGTTGATGTGCAAAGGATCTGGATAACAATCGCAGAGAGGGCCGCAAAGACTACAATAGTTGCAGCTGAATGCAGCAACGCCTTTAAGGTGACAAACTTCTAGAGAACAGATCCTGTTCTTGTCAACAACAGACAGTAATGGCAATCACTTCTATTGATTCCCCTGGAGGGGTTTTTATAGTCACAAAAGTAGCGAACATATGGCAGAGGAAGAGATCTTTAAATCCGATAAAATGCCCACGTAAAATTATAAAAAAAGAGGGCAGCAGTACGTATGTACACAGCCTACAGTGCATGACTCGAGATTGAACGGAGATTCTCAGCCAGTTGATGAGAAAACGCACGCTGCTGCTGCACTGTTACAGTCATCGCGTCGCTATTGCTCGAAGCGAATTCGTCGATCTGACATGATCCACACGTTGTGGGTACTAGTACATGCAAAGTATCAAAAAGGACCCACGTCCTGCGATAGTGTGCTTCTAAATTTACTCTCCATGAGATAATTGGTATCTCAATGTGCCGTTCACATCCCTATTTTTAGACTCGGGAAGAATTAAGAGCCAAGTATAGCATCATAGGGAGGCGAAAGACCATGGGCTGGGTTTGATGTCGACCCGATTTGGTCGAATACGCGCAACATGAGAAATATTCAGGCAAATAAAGCACTAACTAGTTATTGTCGCAGTAGTTAGATCAAGATTCCCTTCGTATGCTGTTTATGTACTCTGATCACATGCAAGTATCATGTAAGGAAATTTGCCCAGGCTGCCTTGTTTCAAGGTCTTTGGTAATGGCCACAGCCACTAGCTACGAGGGCGTCAAGAAATCATGGGCGTAGCCACACCACGGCCTTTCCCAGAAGGCGGGGGGTATGGGCACCAAAATTACGGATATTGAAGAGGACGAAGATGTCGTCATGGGCTGGGACGAGATTCACATCAAGACATTGTCATCAGCGGCTGTCATTTCCTAGCTAGAAATTTTTGCTACATAGTGCTGAATCTGGGGTTTCCAAAACTCGCATTTCAGTCTTGACCGTCAGAGGCCGGTGCGCTGGTGACAGGGATTAAAAGTGTCCTCTGGCTCGCCGGTTGGCGGGCATACGACACCTATTTTGTTCACCGCCTCTTGCCCTAGAAATCAAACCCAGTGATTTCACAATTGTTATTCGTATATCCATTTTCCTTTCTGCGGTATCCCAGCTCCTATGCGAGCAGAAACTGCAACTGCCTCCTCGTGATCTAAGAAAGATGCGACGATAATGTGGCCCTTCTCTTAGGTCGATACTAATTGGTCGATCAAGGTGGCTGCAGTCATCGTTCTAAGGAGGCACAAAACAAGTTACACTACCCATTCACCTTTGGGGAACAAGTACCATTCAGTCACCGTTAAGATTGCGGAGAGAATGATCGAAACTTGAGAGGTTCTGCCGTTTAGAGCACGGAAGTAACAGAGGGTCATGAAACTGAAGCTTAAACTCATGACTGCGACAAGCAAATCTGGATCTATTGTCATTCGTTGTTAAATAGTTCTCGGTAACTAAGGACGACTGACCTTCATCGAAATTCTTCATTTTGTCTGGGTACTAGTCGGAGATGAGGATGTAGGTAACAAAGGGAGCTTAGAGTTGTGGACAGTTATATATGTCAAGGTAGTTATTGGAGGTTGCAGGAAGAGAAACGAGGACAAATCACCAGAAGCAACACACGAGCTTTATATCCTTTAACCATGTTGCCGTGTGACGCCGCACCTCTAACTTCATAGATATTTGCGAATATGACGGCGCTTCTGGGCCCAAATAGAGCTAGTAGCAGCCTCTATGCATGCTCTGTATTAAGCCGTAATCTTAGGCAGCAAGCGCCACCAATATACCAAGGCACTCAATACCCAAGGGAATGAAACATCAGCTGTCACATTCAGGCTAACACGGTCAGTGACAGAAATCTTACAATGTGTTACTGTGAGCTCTGCATACATGCGTTCCCCAACCTTGGCTGCCTAGCGATTGTCTGCAGCCCTTCGTAAGACAACACACTTAAACACACCAAGCCGAGGCTCGGGTAGGGATACAAACTTGCTGTTTAGATCCCCGCAACACTGATGTTGCACGCCGCTTTTGGCCTGTCGCTGTGCTCAATCCGTGCGTGAAAGTATGGGAACAGTCATTTTGCCCTGTAGTGGAAGATTCCTGGAGCTGAATCCGACATGCACAATGATCTCACCAGCGGGTAGAGTCCATGCTTGCGCAGTTGTCTCCCAGTAGCTCAAGTCGCGTCGCGTCAAGAGGAAATGTACAGTTTCAGAAGCACCAGCATCGAGGGCAATCTTCTCGAAGCCCCGCAGATTACGTACAGGCGCATTCGATTCCTCAGGATACGAGAGGTATAGCTGAGGTACTGTAGCACCAGCAACCGAGCCGGAGTTGGAGACGGTCGCGCTGACAGTAGCAATAATGGCCCATAGCTCTGAATTACCGCCTGGCTGAATTGGGGCAGCTGGATCGGGTGTTCTCGAGATGTTACTTGCGCCGACCTTGATCTCCAGGCAAGAGATGTCGAACGTAGTATAGCTTAGTCCAAAACCGAACTCGAATGCTACGCTCGCGTTGTGCGCATCAAACTCCTTGTAGTCGATCAAGTTACCTTCGACGAAGTCCGCTTGCCATGCATCAGGGTCAGTAGTAGAGGCCAGCTCGGTGCTATTGATCAGATTCTTCGTATAGTCCGTCTCTTCGTCGGCTATCGTGTAGGGTAGCCTACCGGAAGGATTCACATCGCCCCACAGAATGTCAGCTACGGAGATTCCAGATTCTTGGCCTGGCATATGCGCGGCTAGTATAGCTGTTACGTTCGGGTTGGTACGCCAAGGCATGGTGTTTGGTGCTGCGCCATGGAGCACCACAACAGTGTTGTTACATATGGCTGTTATGCGGTCAACAACAGCTGTAGAGTTCCACTCTGCAACCAATGTAGTACGATCATCGCCTTCGCTAGCCCACGACTTTAGGAAAACTATGCAAACGTCTGGTTGTGCAGGACCCAGACTAGCAAGACCTCCTTGGATAATGAATTCGTTGTCAACAACGTACTGCACATTGGCTCCATGCATATTTCCACGAGACTTTATAGCTTCTAGAGGTGACACTAGACGTGAGAAGCGACCGGTTCCAGAGCCGCCACCAACTGCAAGTGTGCCAATATCGTAATTGCCGTCTATAAAATTTAATCCGGTGGTAGATAGCGAGTACTGTCCTTTTGTAAGGTCTGCTGCGTCATTACCGAAGATGCCAATGCTGCCAGGCGTCTTCAAAGGCAGAGTTCCGTTGGTATTCTTCAACAATACTGTTCCGGATGCGCCTAGGTCCCGAATCAGCTGCACATGCTGCTGACTACGGACATCCACGGTTGGACCAAGCGTATAGTTGTGAGAATATCCAGAAGAATCAAAAAATCCGAGTCTTGGAGTGTATCCATCGATTGGAGGAAACTTGGTGTCTTGGCTTAAATGAAAATACGGAGTCATTACCCGAAGGACCATGTCATTGACTCTTTCTTCCAAGAGCGATCCGTTTTTTATGGAGATAGTGATATTATGACCCCAGAACGATGAGTTTGAATTTGGAAAAGCGATACCACCTGGCATATTCATGTCTAGCCCCGCTTCGATTGAGCTCACACCAGAATGTGTCGCCAGCCAATCACTCATCACATAACCTTGGAAGCCGAGCTCTCCTTTTAGTAGTCCATTCAGAGTCTTGCTATTCTGGCACCCTGAAAAGACAGTCAATGGTAATCGTTACAAGACTGCTAGAAGGGCATACCATAACTACCGTTTATGCGCTGGTACGAGCACATCACAGCAGATGTACCTGCTCGGACTGCGTTGGCAAAAGGCCAAAGATACGTCTCATGCATGGTTTTGTCGTCTACGTTGGAGCTGACAGCCTCGACCTTGAGACCGTTGACGAAAGAAGGGTTTCTTTGGATCTCTTGTTCGTTGACTATAGATGTTAGGCACACTACACGTAGTTGCTATTGATGTTATGCTCACCAATATAATGTTTTGTACACGCCTGAACGCCAGCACTCTGAATCCCATGGATAGTCTCTTCGACAAGAACGCCGGAGAGGTAAGCATCTGGGCTGAATCCCTCCCAATTGCGTCCACCAAATGGCGATCGACCTAGTGCACCAATAACGGGACCTAGAGCTACATGGGTACCTTTACTCTTGAATTCTGCACCCATATATTCTCCACGTTGACGGACCAACGCACGATCCCAAGAAGCTGCAGCTGAGACTCCAGCGGGGAACACTGATACATCAATTGCCTGTCGGACGGCAAGAGGTCCGTCGTGCAGGCAAAGACCTCTGAAATTAAGTCTTTCGATCGGCGCAATATTGCCAACACACGGACCAGATGTACCTATACATCGCCATGAGCTGAGAAGTGTCTTTGATCAGCGCCACATACCTGTGAGTATCTCAGCCTTTTCTTCTATCGTCAGCTCCGCCACAAATTCTTGGGCCTTTTTAAAAGCTACATCCCATCCGCCTGCTCCACAAGTCCGAGGCGAGGGATAAACGGGAGGACTTGTTTCATACTGTGTGTGCTTGAAATTAAATTGTGCTGCAACAGCGGCAACACACAAGACTAAAGTTAGGGATCGTGCCATCTCATGTGATTTCCGTCTTTAGAAAGCGGGCATGCTTATTTGAATAAGACATCCTTTTAGCAAACTCTTTATAAAATTCCCTCGTCTTGACCGTGCGCAGCTAGTGCATGCGAGAATCTGCCACAAGGTCCTAATCGTCGTGTACATGCCACCTATGAGAAAACGCAAATTATTTGGAAGTCAGTTGTGCTGCTGATCATGTTGAATCAAGAGAGCGAAAGTCTTGGCCATTGAAAATATGTGGGGGTCACTCGGGATGACGTACAATGAACGAATCAAGATAGTAGCCGACCTAAAACAGTCACATTAGCCACTGGTCATGCACGCCAGACCACTCGGGTCTGCAGGGACGGGCACAAAGTTGATTACCCACTTGCAATCTTTGGCACTACATGTCCCTGTGTTGCTCCAAAGTCTTGCTAAACAGTCCTTCAAGCCGCATGAATGAGGCGTATTTTTCTTCCAAGAGGGCGATTCGATAGTCGTAGATCATGACAGCACAGCACCTTACGAACAAATCGACCCTTCTACAAAGACCAGAGCAATTGCACGTATAAACGAAGTGATAGGAATAATCGAAGTAGTAAAGACCCTATTCGACGAGGATATCGCTTTTGGCTCACCTAGGTTGTGCAAGCTCTACATTTATACGAGAATCCTAGCATGGCAGAGGTCCCAGACGAACCTTACCCAAGTGTTGTGTCACAAATAGACGGCCACCCAATGTCCTCCCATGTATTCTATCGCACCTCCGTTGGTGGACAGATGAACAACCAAAATCAATCGCGTAGTTCTAATCCTTTCGACTTCTCTAAAGAACACGATACATCCAATGACCGCTCAACCAGGATCCAGGCACAATGTACAGACTGCGTCATGAAAGTCGAAGATGGAGGCGAAAATGATCATACAGTGCGGCCACTGGCAACACTACAATCGTTTCAGAAAGGTTCGTCGCCGATTAGCATGTGGGAAATTGAAAGATACCAGGTCCGCAGGGACGCTGCCGAGGTGAGTCCTAGATTTCATTCTATTGAAATGCCTATCGCTTCGGGCAGATCGAATGGGGTTGTTTCCAACTAGCTGGAACGAGCTCAAGTACTTACATCGGATTCGAAATGTGCTTAGTAGGGAAATCTCTCCAATGTGGCTGACATGGTGGAAAAGGACTGTGAGAGCAGTGCCCCTGATCACACGGCAGACACAAACTATGATCGAGCATCTAACAACGAGTCTCCTTTTGTAAAGGAGTCTGCGCTCATCGAATACATGATCACCGAATATACTTCACTGGCTGACAGTGTCTTTGATCTGGGCTTTGCAGATACAAGATACGAGCGACCACGAGCCGCCCCTGCCGTTCCCAAAAGAGATTTACCCAACGCTTTGAAGCAAGCTGACTGTATCTCGATGAAGAGATCAACCAAGGCTGAGTCGGTTTCGAGGAACTTTCGGAGGCTGCGTCTGGATACTCATCACACTAATCGACCTCTGTATAGATCGCGATCGGACCAGGACAGTCCAGACTGGGCCTGCCAAACATCCCTGGCCATCGAAGCTGGAGAAATGGGGATAGAAAGTGCACACACGAATAGTTCATATTCCAAGTCAGACTATGAGAGCCCAGACTGGGCCTGCCAAACATCTCTGGTCCTTGAAGCTGGAACGATTTCGACAGATAGCGTACACAGTTATTGTGGATATTCATCACCGAGACATATTTTGGATACGATGCGGAGCCTAACAAGAATGCTTTTACCACAACGCAAGAGAGTGCAAAGCCTCGGAACAAGAGACATGCAGGTGGCTCATTCATCGCCCTTCAGTAGGCATAGTTGGACTCACTCTTCAGGCAACAGGGATTTCGAAGGTGCCTTGCAGTTTGTGTCAAGAGCGAAAGCTCCTCAACCTGTAGGGAGATATAGGAAAATAGAAAGTACGATAGGAGAAAGGCCAACAAGACATGAGCATGTGCAGGTGGCTCCGCCGATAGACTTGAATAAGAGTCTGCCTGCCCTGCCCTGGCAACCGTGCGAGCAAAACGAAAAAGAACATTCGGAGTCTCGCTAAAGCAATTCGGTCACTTTTCAATCTGTACTTTGATAGTCCCATAATATTCTCAGAATACTGTATTTAGTTGACTATCTGAAATCCAAACTGACCCCAAGCATTTTGACCAAGGTTCCCATATATACCTATTGTTAATCCTAACGCCCTAAGTTTATTGATACTTACCGGCCACAGAATATGCTACTGATAGGTACTACCGCTCCGCTTCCGCTCATGTTCGTCGGGGTGCTGCTATTAAATATCTTTATCACATCCTGCGAGATAACAACACAACGTACTAGCTCAAGAGGGAAGAACTCACTAAGACGTAAAGCTTCCTCAGTTCCAGCAAATCCGAGCTGGTCAGTGATTCCTGTAGCTATGAAAGAGCTGGCTACTTCTGGCAATTTGTTCTCCATAGAGATTACTCCTGCTATCGGTCAGTATTATAGTAGGTCAGTCCGACCACAGACTTTCCTGGCATGTATTGTAGCGGCCTCCTCAACTCGGCATCTGAACAGTTAGCGAATAGTGGCAAGAAGAATTCTCTGGCTGGAGAATGAGTGCTTTCTCTTGCTGTAATTACAATTGCCGGGATACCATTATGCACGCAGCTATACTCTTTTTGGCCAGCTACAGCGATCATGAGCAGCGAGAAAAGTGCTATATCCTTCATTCTCGTGTGCTGTCCAAACTGTGCGGATATCTTTGCAGGGGGCACATTCTTTTATAAGAAAAGATAGAAAGGATAAGCAATCAACCTCTATTAATAGCTGGATCCTAGAATGTTGCGTACAGAACGGGCTCACTTTAGCGCACTAGATCATGCGCATGGCTTGTTCTCTCTGAAGAAAACGTGCCTGGGAGATGCTGAGCCTTGTAGTAATAGTGTGTGATAGCAGTGTTGCAGTATCGATTCACTAGTTATGTTGCGTCAGTGCTCTACAGAAATTGTTCACTTACTGCTCCTGCTACTCACCCACTGCTCACCCACTGCTCACCCACTGCTCACCCACTGCTCACCCACTGCTCGCCAAACTCTCCTCCTCTATCTACAAACAACGATTGCATTTCACTCCAGCTTACTAGTCGTTTCCCTCTGCGATAAGAGCATATTTCAATTTTTTATCACTAGTTATTTGATTCTATAGATAATGTAACTAGACACTAATCTTTTACTACCTGCTCTCCCTACATCTACACACAGAGCTGATAACCCTTTACTACTTCACGCATGACGATTTCGTGCTTCTCAACACTGACTAGAGCACGAAACGGAACTATGGATGGTAGATACTTTGCTATAACTATTTCATACCAGGCTCTATGGTGCTCTCTAGTAGACACTCTTTCCTCAGCTACCACAGAAGCTGATAATGCGTTGACAGCTACAGCGAGTCGCACCAATTGTCGTACTTGCACACGTAAACGGCTGCCAGCTGTATCGATTCTGCAGACCGAAGCTATGGTAGCGTCCAATTGCCTCTCTCTCCCTATCTTACAACGTCAGCGCTAAGCTACATGACCATGAGCTATGCGATATTACTGTTATAGCAGTTGCATGACTTGGGGTTCTATTAATGTGTCATACACATGCATAATATCGGGGCCCACCCAGGTAGTTTTACAAAGATTAGATCACAAGCCTAACGCTTAAGGTGGTCGCTCACTGCGGACGATAGCTCGTGTGGGGCAGATCGGTACGTACAGCCAAGGATTGTGGCGCTGTTACTACGAGGGTGGGGCACTTTGAACAACGCCACTCGTGAACCTCTGGTAATGTCCCTTGACGACGACCTGGTGAGTTAAGACTCCTATTGGGTGATTTTTGAGAAGAACAACGGCGCAGCATCCCCTGGGTGAAAGCCCCACGACAACTTGCTGTTCTCACACACAGGTGGCTTACTACGTGGCTCCCCAAGTGGTCAATCTGCGGCACCTCCAACGGATCTGTCATGCTCATGGAGCTCAAAACAGCATGAGTGTCAATTTTGACTTCATAATCGAATCCGCAAGCTCGTTCACAAGCAGTTCAGAATACTCTGTATAGGACATCCTGACGGGGTATACGAACATGAAGATTTCTTCATACATGCTAGCTTTGATCGGAGTCTTTACAGGTAAGCAATCTCCAGCAGCCAATTTTACGAGGCTCTAAAGTCCTTAGATTCATATGTGCAAACGGATCCTACTCCGGATCTGGGCTACGCTGAGCTATGGCGCCTTCAGCACGAGTTCTACGAACGATGGATTACCCCCAACAATGTGAAAGAAGCCGAATCTGTCAACTCAACTATATTCTCTGACAATGTAGGGTTGTGACTATGACATTGAGCCACCCATACTGAATACCAACAGATCCAAGGTCGCGTTTCTGACACGCGCACCTTTGTAGGCCGTGAACTCAACACAGAGTACATCTTTGGGCTGTTTATGCCCTCAGACTCTCTATCTATAATTGGAAATCCGACAGAGTTCGAAATTATTCAGTTTGCGGCGGTCCAGAATATCGCATCGGCGACCACGCGCGTCAACTTTACCTTTCCGGCGTTCAATAATATCTCTCTTCCCGTTGCGATCAACACATGGATGACGTGGAATTCTGCTCGTCAAATAACGCAGTACGATGTTGTATTCAAGTGGTTCGGAAACCTCTTCCAGACTCTCATCCTGAGTTTGGGAGGCTCTTTCGAGGAGGCCAGCGACCAGACAGTAAACAGGATTGCTACTTCGATATGCAACTCGCATTCGAGATATTGCAATGGCACGAACACGCAATACAAATCTTGGGAAGAATGCTATAGTTTTCTTAAGAAGGAGATACGCGTAGGACAAAGCTTCGAGTTTGGTATGAACACGCTCATGTGCCGCAGTGTGCACGAGCTCATGGTCAAGTATCGGCCTGAAGTTCACTGCAGCCACATTGGCCCTACTGGAGGTGGAGAGTGTGACGACTCAATTACATATATGGAGAAAGTAGAGGAAAGACTGGATGTCAACTCGCCATGGATTGCTACCAGGCAGTAGGGACTTGTTGGTATGGGCTTGCCGGTGGGCTATGTCATTGGTCGTACTCTGATTGGCTCTCCTAAGCTTTATAGTCTGCTCATATCTTCAAGGACGTTTTATGAGAAATAGTAGTAAAATAGAGTTTATTCTGACTTGCTAAACGCCGCTAAAAGCTTAGATTACTTATATCCAGGTAGATCGTGTGCATGACTACTATCCCTCCACGCGTGGCGAAAAACCCTGTGTGGTGGCATGCTGGTCACATTCCCAACCACAACAAATCCAACCACAGCTCAGAGGCCTACAGAATCTCGGGATAGAGACATCGACCCTACAATTTGTGTGTAGCTGGCAATACGACAATTCGCTGCTGGCATGCACGGCAGCCCTATCTCGGACGGCCTCGGACGCGCCAGAGAATCAATGCACATAGCTAAGAGTTTGTCAAGTTGTACAAAGATATGTAAACAGTGTATCCCGAGCGAAGTAATATGTCATCTTTGGCCGTGGCGCTGTTGTAGAGGTTTATTGCTCTCAAGAGCAGGATCGACAGTGGAGGCGCGCCACCGGCGAGTCGTACGGAAAAACATATCCAATATTCTAATTTACATGAGCTCTTTCCTATCCAGGACCTAATTCGTTCAGTGTATAGTGTGGTGTAGTATCACGTGACTAGTTCGTAGTATATATTGCAATATCCTTTCGGACGTAGTTAGATAGACACCTTCTTCAATCAATCCCTTCACAGTGATTACTTTTCAGCTTGATTCTATCTACTCGATTGCGGGTCGCCCCTCTGATCTTTTGAGCTCGATCACGTATCGTGCCACAATAGTTAACTATACATATTGAAACAATACGTGCATGCGTATAGATCTGGATTCAAGATTCGAAGATTGATCACAACAAGGCTGAAGATGTTGCACGCATCTCACTGATGCGAATAATCTCTGCGGCTTCTGGAAAACTTTTGACCATCCGCTCGAGCAAAATCTCCGTGTATACCGCCCATTCCTGCTGACATCCAGCACAAAGAAAACATTTACCAAAGACATGATCTTGCGGCGCGCCATATATCGCCCGATAGTTGCATTCAGAACAAAAGAATTGGTCGGCCTCTTCCAACATTGCCCGAAGGCCATTAAATAGCAACAGAGTCTCCCGCGCAAGGATGCCATGATATTGCTCCAGACTTTGTAGTTCCAGCTCTTTAGAATCCGTTTTTCCTTCAAGTTTGCTCCATAGTTTGACATTTCTGTGTTCGTGCGATGATGCGCTCTGTACCAGGCTTGCCCGGTGCAAGACCGCCCTCTATTAAGCGGTATTGTCGCATCGTCATATGTATTGGACCGCCGAAGTAACGAAGAAAGTTGATGACGCATTTCATATTGGGCTTTCCCGCCCAAGCTACGTCCAGAGCCCAAAGCGCCTCCCGACATTTGTGGAACGCCACCATGCGCTTAGTTTTGGAAATGTGTGTGAATGTGCTGCTGACCTCTCCATCTAAGCAATGCTTACAGTGTGCTGCTCCATCGTACATTGTATTACCGATTTCGGCCAGGATGTCAAATTGCTCATTAGTGAACCAGACATGGTCAAGATCATTGCAAGCTAGAGCGGCACCAATCGTGAAGCGGACAAGTGTTTCCGTATCCCTCATGCGGAAGAACTGCCAAGGGCTTTTGGACAGGGCGTTATTGTAATTGCGAAATAACATAATTACTATTTGGTTGGTGACTTGACTTCTGCGAGGACATGAGTATGAAACATCGGTATTCCCGGCACATCTCAGTACTATGTCGTGAAAATGTTAGCGGGAAGAAATCCAGACTGTTGGGAGTGGTTGATGGTGAAGACATACTAGCCTACTGTTCCTCCGCACAATGTGTTCAACACTTTAGTAAGGCTGTAACCTAAAAGTGTGTCATCATTTATCACGTCTATAAGACTGCCACGAAATTCTGCGATGATGCCGATGATCATGATGCGCATAAAGGCAACATATCGCGACCAATTAGTGTATTCAGGGATTACACAGCGGGTGTATTCCCATGCCGTTGCAAAAACCGCTTCTTTGGCCCGGAATGGAATGTCGACATCCTTCATATCTTTCTCAATATCCGATGGGTAGTACCATCGCTCCTTAACCGCAACGAGCTGCTCGCTAATTGCCTCGTCGGACTGTACGTTGGAGCCTTGGTTTCCTTCAGTCATGTTTTAGTTAATAGATTAACCAACTGATTAAACTAGTGGTGAATCATCTACTATGATCATATCAGGAAAGCAATTTATGAAGTTTGGTGTTCTGGCACCCCTAACAATGCACAGTGGTATATGAAAGTCAAAGGGTATGTGAGTCGATCCCGAGTGGTATCATATCAGCGACTGTATCAAGCCTCCTGACACGAACCAGCTACTTGTGATACAGTAGACGAAATTTCAACTCTCGTTCCATACGAACTCGGGTTTGCCCTGGTCGGGAACGACGTAGTCTAGGGATGGGCGGATACACAGTGCATTGGCAGCCACAAACCACTTGGGGTGCTGGCTTTGCCCGTGAGCAACACCTGATCCGTTGGCCTGTGCCGCAACCACTGCCCTCAATGCAACCTGTCGGAGGCAAGCTAGAGCCAGTACTGTGCATAATAAAACTCAATATGTAGCAAATTTGATCGCTAATGTTTGTCTTGTGCTAGTGCGGTACACTCTCATGCAGTTACAGCTTCCGGTTTCTGTAAGCAGGTGACCTCTGATCCCACGCTAAGCCTATGTCCCTTAGTGGTAATCTTACTCACATAGTATTAGTTTCTGTCAGCGATGCGTCTTCTTTCAAACTCTCAGACTAATCAACGCATCACGTTTACATGCTTTAACTATCTTTGGATAAGCGTACACCAGGCGGGTCCGTGTCCTGCGTGGGATGTCAATTGAGCCGCGTGCGCAAAGCGGAAGCTGCAAGTGCATGAGAGTGTACTGCACGCGCGGAAAGAGAGCAGCGTACTTGCCCAGCTNAGAACAGGCATGGCGCAGCTGAACACGTATCGATACCGAATCAAGGCATCAACAACAGACCAATGCGAATGCGGCCAGGCAGCAGAGACGGTGG